CTCTGAAAGCCCATTCTAAACACACGAAACAGCCCTCTGCTATGAACTGGGCTTTCTGCATTGATTGTGGTTTTACATTTTTCAGAGATATGTTTTTCATAGAGACACTATCTTTTTTTTTTAATTGTTAGTTCACCCAAAATTGAAAAATTTCATAATTTTGTCAGTGTAATGTTCCAAACCTTTATTACTTTACTTCTCCTTTTAATTTTTTTTTTAGTACATTTATATTCCTCTTTTTCATATTGGTATAGTTTGGTCTTGGAGGTCTTGATTTTTTTCTTCTGTTTTTATCTATGTATTTGGATTTGCATTTGATAAAAACACAATATTGCTGCATATTGTTATTGAATTTGTAACTTTTTTTTAATTTAAATTTGTAATTACCGTTTCACTATTTATAATAATTATAAAAATAATGATGATGATGATTATAATAATAAAATTTTATAAATTTAAATGAATTTAATTATATTTTAAGACGGAATTGATTCACTGAATCAATATATTTTTGTTTTTAAAATATATTTCAAATGAAATCTAATTGAAAATTAAAAAACGGACAAATAATGACCCTTTTCACTATTTATAATAATTTCAGAAATTTCTATTTAATTAGTTTAATTGAAAAATATTATTGTTGTTATTATTTTTATTATTAATCATCTTTATTATAATAGTAAATACTGAGACAAAAATGCAACAGACTAGTAAATAATTATCTACTTTGTAAAACCCAACAGTTACATTTATACATTAATAAGATGCAGTACATTATTTAAAAAGAGGACATAAATATATGTCTCGACTAAATAACATATTGTTTTAGAAAATGTATTGCATACATGCCAAACGCATTTAGAAATACAAAATAACTAAATGTAATTTTTGGGGCTAAGCTATTCATCGAAACAATTAGACTGGATATCAATGACTTATGAATACCATTTCAGTAACACTTTATTTCGATGGGCCACTTTAGACATTCTACTATAAGTAACTTTGCAACTACATGTCAACTAACTCTCATTAGATTATTAGTAGACTGCTAGGTTAGGTTAGGTGTTAGTGTTTGGGTTAACAGAATAAGTTGACATTTGCAAAGTTACTCCCAGTCAGTAGAATATCTGTTGGGGGAGCATCATAATAAAGTGTTAGCAGATATTAAGCAGACAGTCTGCTGGTACTCTGAGTTAGTTGACATGTAGTTGCAAAGTTACTAATAGAAGAATGTCTAAAGTGGCCCATCGAAATAAAGTATTACCGAAATGGTATTCATAACTCATTGATATACAGTCTAGTGATTTCGAGATTAATAAACTGTCTGCTTAATATCTGCTAACTCTTTATTATGATGCTCGCCCAACAGATATTCTACTAACTGGAAGTAACTTTGCAACTACAGTAGTCAACATTTGAAGTGGATCAAAAAAGTTAATCAAAGTTGTCCTAAGACAAGAATGGGTATTGTTCAATATGCATGTATAACTTTGATGAAAGGTTTTGATCTACTTTAAATGTTGACTACTGCACATGTCAACTTATTTTACTAACCCTAACACCTAACCTAACCTAGTTAGTTGACATGTAGTTGCAAAGTTACCTATGGTTAGTAAAATGTCTAAAGTGGACCATCAAAAATAGAGTATAACCACAATTTCTTTCAATTGCTTAGTCATCCACCACATGTCCACCAAAGAACGGCGTATCCGAGCAATAAAAGAGATGGCTCGCACCCTGCGTGTGGGAGGGCGGATCATGATTTACGTTTGGGCCATGGAGCAGAAGAGGCGCAAGTTTGAAAAGCAGGACATCTTCGTTCCCTGGAACCCCAATCCACCGTTATCTCCTGCCCTCAGAGTACTCGGCCGAACCAGACAGCGAGTCAACGGAACCCAAAGCATCGGCGACGACAGCGCTTCAAGCGACAAGCACAGGAAAGTGAAAAGCACATCCTCCATGGTGGACGAGGGCGACTTGATCAGCCCCAGTCAGCAGAAACAACCGAGGCTTTGGTTCTTCTCCAGATCTTTGGATTCGGTGCTGGACTTCGGCAGCCTGGCCATGTCCCGCTCCTCTTCCAGCAGTTTACAAACTCCTGTCGATAAAGCGACGGAAAGCAGAAGCCGACGAGCTAGTAGTAGAGGCCTCTTCAGGCAGATGTCCAGCCTCTTTTCTTCCTCTTCCAGGACCAGTCTAGAAGAAGACGTCTTCATCTCAGACGCTCACGATCGGGTCCATAAAATCAACAACAGAAGTGTTGGGAATGGAAATGAGACTGTTCCTGTGGAGCTTGTCCATGACTGTTCCTCAGTTGCACTGCCCGACTTGGTGTCCTACCAGAGGGATCAGTCGAATCTTGAAGGACACGAAGAGGTAGATGGAAAATCAAGCCTACAAGAGCCCTTGCGAAGGCAGGAAAGCACAGCGTCTCTTCTGGAAACTGAAGGGATGAATGGACGGAGCAGCGAACAGATGAAGGACTCTTGTCTGCGGTACTACCATGTATTCAGGGAAGGAGAACTGACGCAGTTGATCCAAAACCACGTTGATGAGCTCCATGTTCTGCACACATACTTGGACCACGCCAATTGGTGCGTGGTGGCTGAGAAGGTCCAAGTCTGGAAGGTTTAAATCTCATTTTAAAGGTCTGGTTTAATCTTTTTTGATGTCTTTTAACATTTTAGTTTGAGATTTTAAGTATTGGGACTAGAGAGCTAATATTAAATATTAGCTGTTCAGTATCAATGGCAATAACAAGCGAGGTATTGATGCTCTGATGTGACCAGTGTTGGTCCAAATTGTAACACTAAAGCTAGTTGTACTATGAAAACTGCTATAGTAATTTGGCATTAATCTAGTTTGGTTGCATTCAGTTTAAGGTTACAAGTAATTTACTTAACTTGCACTGATTTTAATGGTGTATCACTGTTAACTGTCTTAAGCAATGCCTGCCTGGAACAGAAAGCATAGCACATAATTTTTCTGAACCAAACAATGTGAGCACATAACTAGAGTTTTCTAATGAACGCTCTTCGCGAGTTTGTCTGTGTAGGTGTTGTGTTGTGTGGTTAGTATTACCATAAAGCAGTTGTGTTGTGGTCTGAAGCTTTTAAACAAGATTTTAACTAGTTGGCTGCTTGTTAATCGATTGCACATGAATTCCCATCTTGAAAACTTGAACAATTGATATGTGTTTGTGCCGTGTTGTTGTGAATTGTGTTTGTATTTGTGTAACTTGACCATGTCATTGTCACAACAAAGGTCTTTAATTTTCTCTTAAACTTGAACCATTTTTATGTGTATTTTTGACTTCAATATAATAAATGCAGTATATTTTGTTTTTATCTGACCTACTGGCTTCTTTTGTCTTTTTAGTAAGAGAGGTCATTTTTTACAGTTGCTTGAAATATTTTAATTCTTCTTCTTTTTTATTTTATTGGAACAAAGAACACCGTTATCATTGATGCTACAATATCAGACAGTATCACAAAATAATTCCAACATCTTGATATACATTATCACACTTTCCTCAATGGTTTACATACATAATCCATTTTTCCCAAAACTTGTTACATTTGTCAAATTTGAGCCTTAATATAAATGTAAGCCTCTCCATACTGTATATTTCATTTACGATCCCTAGCCATTGATCCTAGTTGGAGGATCCACCTGCAACCATTTACGGGTTATTGCTTTCCTACTGCTTTTTAACAGTATTTTTTTAATAAATATTTATCCTTGTCTAAAACATTTCCTGGTATTTTACCTAAATATATAGTAGTGAACGAAAAATCCACCTCTACTCCTATAATTTTCCCAATCTCTGCCACTACTTCTTGCCAAAATAATTTTATTTTTGGGCATGCCCAGAAAATATGATAGTGATTAGCCATCAAGGTTTCACATTGCCTCCAGCAAAAGCCACGGCTCTGTGAACCTGTATGAAGTGCTGTTAATTTGGGAGTTAAAAAAAATCTTACGAAATTCTTCCATCCAAATTCCCTCCGGGATCTTGAGTTTGTGGTATTTGCCTGTATCACACGTATATCTGTCCAGTCTTCATCTGTTATTTGTGAGTCAGACTCTTTCTCCCATTTTTGTTTAATGTATATTGATGAATGGTTCTTGGATGCTTGTATACTTCCATACAATCTAGAAACCAGCTTTTTGTTATCTCCTACTGTGTACGCATTTGAGAATATTGTAATTATGATCTTCCGTCAATGTACTTTTAATTTTTTTGTTAAAATAATCTCTGACCTGCAAATATCTATAAAAAGCCTGCTTTTCTAGTCCAAACGTATTTGAAAATGCCTGATAACTCTGTAACTTCCCACTAGAGATGATTGAACAGTAAGATGTGATACCTCTCCAAACCGATTGTTTAAATCTCTCGTCTACGATGTCGTGTAAACAGCCCCTCAGATGTAATTACTTCACTATCATTTTAATTAAATATTATTTGGTAACACTTTATTTTAAGGTGCTTGTAATAAGCAGTAATTAACAGTTAATAAGACACTTATAAGACCTTATAAGATGCATATAAGCATTAACTACTTCATATAAGGGTTAATTAAAGGTCCAGGCACTGAAGAGATCAGGGAAACTACTCCCTCTTGGGAAGGTAAATGTTTAAGGGCCTGGGAGTTTGTGTTACCATTTATGTTTGTTCGGCTGTTCTAAAAGTGCAATGTATTGATACTTGAGAAATGTATTATTTAATTTTATTTTATTTATTATAATTAGTTAATGCTTATATGCATCTTATATGCATCTTATAAGGTCTTATAAGTGTCTTATTAACTGTTAATTACTGCTTATTACAAGCACCTTAAAATAAAGTGTTACCTATTATTTTTATAATAATAATAGTGCAAAAATGTAATTTTAGGAGACAAGTAAAAAAAATTGTAAACATTGTAAAACCCAACCTATTATATATATATATATATATAAAATTCATTACTAAATGAGGACCAACATAATTGAATTTAAAAAAAAAAATTGTATTCATGAAATCTATCCCATCCAATAGCATTGGCACAGCAAAATGTTCATATGGTCCCTCTCAGCACCCAATGATCTCAGTTTGTTTAGCAGTCCATTTCTATCCTGGAGTTAAAGTCCATATTCTCTCCAAACCTAAAAGCAGAAATGTGAACCATTAAAAGCATATAAACCTCTGACAGTGCAATACTGCCGTTTATAGAAAGCACCTGTTTCATAACAATATCAACACAAAAAACAGCAACATAGCATGTGCCGTTTTTCCCTGTTTTTTTTTTTTAAAAACAAAAAAACAATTACAGTCGTAAAAATCATAGCAAAACATACTGTTTTCTCACAATCAAGAGGAAAAACAATAACAAGCTATAATAAAACAATTAAAATACTAAAATAAATCAAAGTTAAATAATATGAATAAATACTGTATATAGATTGGTACAAGGCACCAAATAATATCCATGTTCATTTCACTCAGGTCCATTAAATACCATGTTACTTTCATTGTGGATTCTGCGAGCTCACCTTTGAAGCAGCTCTGTGAATTATTGAGTGCCTGCGTGCCAGTCGATCAATATCTCTTGAATAGCCTCCTCCAATGACAGTGGCCACAGGGATGGCCTTTTTTATGACTGTCTGAAGTACATAAAGATCCCTCTGGTAAAGGCCTAATTCGGGTAAAATGGACAGACATTGAAGGGTCAATTACATAAAATACTGTAATTATAATATATGATGTATGTGTGGAAAGATTTGACCTTCATCTGTGAGACGAAGTCTTCCAAGTTCATCCTCCCAGTGTGGATCCACTCCAGAATCATACAGCACCAGATCCGGGTGGAATGTCTCCAGTAACCAAGGGAGGTGTTCCTGGACTGTACAGGAAATGACTTAATGCGTTTTACCATAGTACCACAGATAGGCTTGTTTAATAGAAATATATGTAAATGTATTCAAAAGTCCAAACTGATCTGCTTATGTTTTTGTGTAGGTGCAAAGCGAGTCAGAGTGAAATAAACACTACCTTTGGAAAGATACTCTTTGTCTTCAGTGCCATCTTCTAAACTGACATCTAGGTCACTCTGCTGCTTTCGCAAAGGAAAGTTTTTCCCACAATGCACTGAGAAGGTAAAAACATTTGGTTCGTCCTTAAAGATGAATGCTGTGCCATCACCCTAGTGAACGCAGGAAAGGAAAACATCTGCTATAATTCAGGAAAACAACAGCATTTTGGTCAGCACAAAAAAAGATGTTGGGATGGGAGTTGTTATAGACTTTTCTTCCCTATTGTGACATATATCTGAGGGAAAGGGCTTCTCAAAATAGAAAGAGTGTAAGGCGGGACTTGATTTTGTCCATCAGGAATTGATTAGTTGGTTGGATTGTTGCTGTTTGCTATTGGTCGATCTGATGTAAGTGACAGGTTGTCCCGCCAGTTAACACAACATCAGAGAATATGCAAATTTCTGGATAAACTAAGAATCACAATTTATTTTGGTTTCAAATACAGATAATGATTCTGCACAAACAAACAAAATAACATGTAATTTACTAGAGGTTCTGACAAAATGTTAATTGCTGCAATCTATTTTAAAAATATATATTAATTTGAATGAATTGTTTTAAAGAAAATTGGTTTGATGAATGACTCAATGATAAATGAATCATTCATAGATGAACCAAAGTTTTTGAATGAATCTCTTGAATGACAAACAAAATAACATGTAATTTACTGACAAAATGTTAATTGCTGCAATCTATTTTAAAAAATATACTAATTTGAATGAATTGTTTTAAAGAAAATTGGTTTGAATGAATGACTCTCATAAATGAATCATTCATAGATGAACGAATCTCTTGAATGACTGATTCAATGCAGTGTTAATTTCGTTGACGAAAATAACGACGAAAATTATTCGTCAACGACATTTTTTCACAGACGAAAACGAGACGATAACTAAATAAAACCTAGTTTTGAATGACAAAGACTATGACGAAAATCTATTGACATTTTCGTCAACGAATAAAAACTAGACGAAAATGTTAGATAGTGACGATTTGGGAAGCGATCCGTCAGAACTGATGTCCTGCGTGTGTGGAAGATGCGCACATTTGTAGGCTACTGTAACGTGATCTACCCCGCGGTCATAAAACGTTAAAAAATGTGAACGTCTGGGAGAATGAGTAGGGCAGACATATAGATCTCTGAATAAGAGTGACGATGCAAAAAAGAGCTCTATTCGGTGCGGTTTTCTGTGCGCACACACCTAACCCGAAGCGTGCAGTCATGCACAATACACCTACAGCGCGCGAGTAGGCTACTGGATTGAGCTCTCTTTCGTGTCTGAATGGAGAAATACACAACAGTATGTCTAAATGTCCGTTTTGGAGAGTATTCATGTAAACTATGCTGGTTATGTCTTAAACTGTGAGTGTGTCGGATGTGCATCAGTGCAATTGTATCCGCATGTCATTGGACATGATCCGACGTCTTAAAGTGACAGTGGCAATAAACCTAATGCGGTCTGTGTCCTTAATTTTGATCAAGCAACAAAAGAAAAAGAGAAAAGCATTCACTGTTTGTTAATAGCTTTAATAAGGATTAATTATATTTAATTCATACAAATAAATATGTCTGCTTGAAAGAATAAAGAATGATGTGTAAGTAGTTATAAGGAATGAATATATCATTCATCGTAAAGAAGACTGTGTTGTACTTTAGGAAAAGTGGTTTTATTTCATTTTAAGATATTTTTTAAGTAACAGCAGTTAAATCTGTATCTGTATTGCATGTTCAAACTTAAAAATCATTCATATTAATAGGTTAATAGATGTTTTCTCCGGGAGTATGGGTTTGGAAATTTTAGAGAAATTCTAAATTAACGCATTACAATTGAACTAAACCCATTATATTTTAGTCGACTAAATCTACTGTAGATTTAGTCGACTAAAATGTTATTGTATTTCGTCGACTAAAACTAGACTAAAACTAAAACAATTCAGATGACTAAAATATGACTAAAACTAAATGGCATTTTAGTCAAAAGACTAAGACTAAAACTAAATCAAAATTTGCTGACAAAATTAACACTGATTCAATGGCAAATACATTTTTCACTTGTCGCCACCTACTGGTGTAAGGGTGTGATGGACACCATCATTATTTAAAGCGCCATGTTACTTTCAAAAGGTGATTTATTTAACTTGATCGCTACTGTAGACATCAGTGTTTGTATCCAAATTATACATTTTATCCCAGTACTTCTGTGATAACCTATCCGAAATGACAGATTGTTAACCTGTTTCATACCTAAACTTGACAACTGTATTCTCTGAGGCAGCGCCAACGCAGATTTGAATGTTCCAGTATGATTTTGTCAATGGTTTATAGACATTTACTGAATCGTTGTCATTTAGGAATAAGGTGTTTTAATGGAGATTGTGATCTTTTAACTGATTAATCAGAGAAGAGCTGTCACTGTAAGATCATGGGGGCACATGAATAATATTTAAAAAAAATGCAGATAAATAATGTATAATAAATACTGCAATTTTCAATAAAAATACAAATATGAATTGTCAATTTTGATTTCATTTTATGGTGACTAAAGCAATTCTTCCTCAAAAAAATGTATTTTGTACCTGATGTACATCCAGATCCATGATGAGAATCTTCCTCTTGGATGCGGACTCACCCATCAAGTGTTTGGCGGTCACAGCCAAGTCATTGAGCAGACAGAAGCCTGCGCCGTAGCCTGGGAAGGCATGATGGGTCCCTCCGGCTGTACTGCACGCCAGTCCCCTCTGCAGGGCGATCTCTCCTGCCAGCACAGTGCCACCTGGACCACATCTCAGATGAGAGAAATACATTACATGATGAGATGGCAACTGGACAATATACAGTAGCTTTACAAATCTAGTACCGACTTAAAAAACACAGTGCAAAGAAGACAAAAAAGTCCAATATTCCATCCCGTAATATAAAAAATAGTGTTTTGCATAAGAAAATTAAGATTTCTTCCATAGTGACGTTATTTTCATAACAGAAAGGGTCTACTGTAATGCAAAAAAATATTAAAAGATGACTACATTTTAAAGTTAATTTGTAAAGTATAATTTTAAATGTATGTCAGTATTTCTTGTAATGAACATAATATTGTTTAAAAAAATGTGTTTATAGTAATGTGTATTTAGGGAAAACTATTAGGGAATTGTAAATATATATATATATATATATATATATATATATATATATATATCATTGTTGTTCTTAACAAAAAATAAAACTGTTAAACAAAGCTGCAAAAGTAAAATATAAATTTTAGATTAAAACCTAATTCAAAATATGAATAAATTTTGTTTTATAATAATATATAAATAATACAAAAATATATACACATTTGTATTTTGAGGTAAAATGACCCTGACATTAATGAGGGTCACTCCACTGTTTCAGCACATACTAAATGACATACCCGTTTCATATCTGCAGCGTTGAACTAAACCAGAACTCCAAGGAAATCCAGTCCGCCTCTGATCTTTCTCACTGATTTTTCCACCGATAAAGTTGGAGAGGTACTCCTCAGTATGCACACATCCCAGAAGCCCTTTTGAGGCAATCTTAGGAGCCCACACCTACAAGATGTGTCAAGTAGCCTATTAATATTCCACAAGTATATTCAAAATATGTATATTAATGCAAGTCACAGATTCACTAAACATCCTGTCCAACCTGTTTATCTGTTATGACTTGATCTCTGAACAGACTCTCCAGGACTTTGGGGAACTTTCCCATGGGAAACCTGTGGTTTTCAGGGAGGTCACATATGTACTTGGCATGATGAACTAGAGGAAGTGCTCTTGATTCAAGGCAAGCCTGAGAAAAACAGATGCAAATGAGTTGCAGGAATTCACTGCAATGGACAGTGTCATTTCTGGACTATAGTTTTACACTTTGGGGGTTTGAATGTGATAATATCGAGGAAACATTACATGTTCAGCGTTGAAAGACCTCCTCCATGCCCCATGCATTGGGTTTCGTTTCAGAAGCGTTTCATTTTGGACCACATGTTTGCATTTAATAGTTGCTCTATACGTTGGTTTTTGACATAAACGAAACATTGCTGCCTTAGTTACAATCTACTACGTAACAACTGTTTGTTTGCAAATAGCGTGCAGATACACAATCAGCAACTATTAAATAACGATCGAGAGATACCTGACATTTTAAAATGCTTTCTGGATCAGATAGAATGTTATTGAAGATACGCACGTAAGAAAATAATACAAAGAATCAAACATCAGCCCGTCACGTGTGTGTATTTGACACTCGTATTTTTCTTGTTGTAATGGAAGTGTACTACTGCCACCCTCTGTTGAGGAGTGAGACATCAACAAACAGAACATCAAATGTGGTAAAGTCATTTTGTCATAGTGCAAACATCTTTTTATTTTAATTTTTTTATTCTACATTTATTCAAGAGGATATTGTCCACTTGAAGGAGAGAATGGGCACAACAAACAAACAAGTAAGTGCCCTAAATACATGGTACCGACAGGATGCCTTTAAAGCAGAAGGGTCTTGTATAATATGGATAAATTGAATTTATTTAAAAAACGTGAGGATGGTTGCCTTAAAGGGGTCCAATTATGCCCTTTTACAAAGTCTTGATTTTGATTTTGGGGTGTGCTAGAAAATGTTTTCATGCTTGTTCAAAAAACGCATTATTTTTCACATATTTTACATTATTTCAGAACCTCTCTCCCCAGTCTGTCTAAAAACCACCGCTTTCGATGAAGCCCCTTCTTCCGAAATATGAAATGTGCTGTGATTTGCATTTGGTCAGTTGGCCCAGTGTGTGATTAGCACCAATTAGCGCATGTTCAGGAAATGTCCCGCCCCTTCATTAGGAGTATGGGGTCTCTGCGGAACAAAAGTGGGCGTTTCTAAATTTGTGGGTGTTTTCAAACTGGTGGGTGTTTATAAATGATACAATGAATTTTTTTTTTGTATTCCATGGGCAGGGTTTATTTAAATGAGTACCATTGTGACTTCATAAGATCCGGTAAAATCGCATTGTAGTCCAAACGAGTCTTTCGTTGTGGTTTTGCAGTTGTTACAATTAGTATATTTAAGCTCAAAGTTCAATTTCCAATGTAAATTTATAAGAATTGTTTTATTTTTTAATTTGTTAAACTAGAAAAGTGTGGGTGAATGAGAAGTGAGGAAGCTTCCTGAGGAGGCATGAGTGAGGATACACAGGTGTATATTTCCCTCGCATCCTAAGTGGGTGGAGCTAAGACGTGAGGAAATGAAGCAAGGGAAGGAAACAAGGGGTGCTTCTCAATAAGAAGGCTGCATCCTACGAAGGCTGCAAATCTCGGCTACCACGTCATCAAAAATTGCTGATGGCCATCTCAATTTGAAGGATCCTTGGAAGGCAGCCTTCGTTTCATGTCCTTCATTTGGCCTGTTTTGAAGGACGTATTGGATGTATCCTTCGCTGCCTTAAATCACCCACAATCCTTTGCACATATTTAAATTCACGAAAATAAACTGACGGAAATTGAGTCGGTACTGAGATCGTCTGAGTTTATTATGAAATGTAAGATAAAAATAACGTTTACGGACATTAACCCTCTGGGGACGGCAAACGCAACGGTGCGTTTTGGCAGATTTTTTTCACATAGCAGGAAAATAGACTTAAACTACTCCATCATTTCTGGTCATACAGAGTTAAGACATATTAAAAAATAAACTGTTAAATGTCTACTTTTTTATGTGCCCACCTACAATCGAAATAAAATATTGTGCTTTTGTAAAATAAAGAAAATAAACAGGGTGTGCGTTCTGCTTCTCCGTGTCCATGAACTTTTTTTCTGGAGCACGTCTCTAAACTTAAACAAAACTCAGCGAATACTATTCACCCAGACATGAGCAATATATGTTTATGATCATTTAAGTTTGTACTTTTAAATTATCTAATTTAAAACTAAAATAAATATTCTCTGTTTATGTAATCTATATAAAAAGAGAGAGGTGTCAGCCGTTCTCATTATCGTTCTCGCATCTCATTATTCCGCTAATGTGACACGCCCACGGAGAGCGCGCGCTATTCAAAACGCTAATGATCTGAAGCAACATATTGAGACGTGTAAACGCCCACATAAACTCGGTAAACACACTATATTTAGTCAGATTAATGTACTGTCGTCTTGCGCGGCTGTGAGGAATAATCCTGGGACATTTACCTACCTCAGAACAAGTGCTGGTTTATTTTCACTTCGAGGAGCGAGCTGAGCTGTAAGTGTTTTATTCTTGTGCTTTGTTCTAATCGCGATATATAATAACGTTAGTGTCTGTAAACGCAAAAATAGCCTACTGTTTAAATTTGAATCATGTTTCTGTGTGTGTGTGTGTGTGTGATTAGTTTTGGATAGATTTTAAAGTTTTAACTCTAAAATAGACATCAAATAAGCGTTTGTTAGCAGTTTCTGCTCATATGTTAAATATGTTTTGTCAATAAACTAATCAACTAAGATGTTATAGTGTTTGTTCCAATGCAAGCCATCAAAATAATGAATCCTTAACTTTGAAATATGTATGATGAAATGTATTGGCCTACTAAGACATTTATGGAAAAAGTCCATTTTCTTTTCAAGATGTTTCCAACTCTAACTTTGAACCAATTCTGTAGAATGGCCCATATAACCTATTTGAACAGGATTTGTTTCCAGGTATGACTAAAAATGTGCTTTTGACTTTTATTTATATTTTGATTATATATATATACACTCACCGGCCACTTTATTAGGTACACCTGTCCAACTGCTCGTTAACACTTAATTTCTAAGCAGCCAATCACATGGCGGCAACTCAGTGCATTTAGGCATGTAGACATGGTCAAGACAATCTCCTGCAGTTCAAACCGAGCATCAGTATGGGGAAGAAAGGTGATTTGAGTGACTTTGAACGTAGCATGATTGTTGGTGCCAGAAGGGCTGGTCTGAGTATTTCAGAAACTGCTAATCTACTGGGATTTTCACGCACAACCATCTCTAGGGTTTACAGAGAATGGTCCGAAAAAGAAAAAACATCCAGTGAGCGGCAGTTCTGTGGGCGGAAATGCCTTGTTGATGCCAGAGGTCAGAGGAGAATGGCCAGACTGGTTCGAGCTGATAGAAGGGCAACAGTGACTGAAATAACCACTCGTTACAACCGAGGTATGCAGCAAAGCATTTGTGAAGCCACAACACGCACAACCTTGAGGCGGATGGGCTACAACAGCAGAAGACTCCACCGGGTACCACTCATCTCCACTACAAATAGGAAAAAGAGGCTACAATTTGCAAGAGCTCACCAAAATTGAACAGTTGAAGACTGGAAAAATGTTGCCTGGTCTGATGAGTCTCGATTTCTGTTGAGACATTCAGATGTTAGAGTCAGAATTTGGCGTAAACAAAATGAGAACATGGAACCATCATGCCTTGTTACCACTGTGCAGGCTGGTGGTGGTGGTGTAATGGTGTGGGGGATGTTTTCCTGGCACACTTTAGGCCCCTTAGTGCCAATTGGGCATCGTTTAAATGCCACGGCCTACCTGAGCATTGTTTCTGACCATGTCCATCCCTTTATGGCCACCATGTACCCATCCTCTGATGGCTACTTCCACCATGTCACAAAGCTCTAATCATTTCAAATTGGTTTCTTGAACATGACAATGAGTTCACTGTACTAAAATGGCCTCCACAGTCACCAGATCTCAACCCAATAGAGCATCTTTGGGATGTGGTGGAACGGGAGATTCGCATCATGGATGTGCAGCCGACAAATCTGCGGCAACTGTGTGATGCCATCATGTCAATATGGACCAAACTCCCTGAGGAATGCTTCCAGCACCTTGTTGAATCTATGCCACGAAGAATTGAGGCAGTTCTGAAGGCAAAAGGGGGTCCAACCCGTTACTAGCATGGGGTACCTAATAAAGTGGCCGGTGAGTGTATATATATATGTATGTATATGTGTGTGTGTGTGTGTGTGTGGGTGTGTGTGTATATTGTCCTTGCATTCTTTCTTGTGTGACACACCTGAATGAAAGGCTCATTAATATGCGGGTGACAGAATGATGACAGAATTCAAATTTTTGGGTGAACTATCCCTTGAAATTGTATTTATTTATTTTTTACTCCAGATTTACTCAATGTTACACCATGGCTCAGTAAGAGAATGAGATTTTCTACTGAAATGTTATATGTTAATTAATTGATATATTATTGATATTATATTTTCACTGATATTTCATTTTACTAATAAAGTTATACAAATCATTCAACTGAATTGACATGGTAATTGTTGCTACAATCAAGCTCTTGTGGTGGCCCCATTCGTTTCAATGTTTTTATGCTTTTAGCTTTTTGGACATGCGCATCCTAATAAATAGGTCTGTTTTACAAAACCTTAAGAATTTTCCCATAAATGTGTCATATATCACTAAAAAGGGGAGAATCTCAGCTTTAATGTGGTATATGGCACATATGGAGGATAATTATGGATCAAAAGTGTTGCAGTTTTAAAAATAAGCTTTTTTATAAAATCATGATTTTCTGAGCCTGAAATTCAGCAAATCTTTGACATAGCCTTACTCAGTCAATATTAAAGATATCAATGTTATATTTTCACAGAAAGTTCTTTACATTATGTAGGATGATTTTATGTAGAAAACAGTGAATCACAAAAAATGACTTTAGCTGGGTTTTCACAGGCAGTCAGGGAGTGCACACAATAAAGGACTATTTCCTTTAATCTTCATTAGGCGCAATTGTCATGATTCTGCCCTCATGTCCTTGATTTTCTAGTCTTGAGGCAGGATCATGAGAGAATCATGTTTTGTGTGCAAGCACATGGTCTTGTGTTTTCAGCCATGTGCTTGTGTTGTCTCGTTACGTTACCCCGCCCCCTTGTTATCCTCGTCTCGTCATTATTGTCTAGTCAGTTTCACCTGTCCTTGTCTAGTCTGCTTCACCTGTCTTTGTCATTAGTGTTCCCCTATTTTATCCCCTTGTGTTTGCTGTCCTGTGCCGGTTCATTGTGTCACACTTTGTGAGAGTCTACCTGTGAGTACCTTGTCTTTGAAGAACGTCTTGAT